TCTGTGTATGTCCACTGGGAGCATGTAAACTGTGTCAGTCCTGCTCTGTGTATGTCCACTGGGAGCATGTAAACTGTGTCAGTCCTGCTCTGTGTGTGTCCACTTGGGAGCTGTGGACTCTGTGTCAGTCCTTCTCTATGTCCACTTGGGAGCCTGTGGACTCTGTCAGTCCTGCTCTGTGTGTGTCCACTTGGGAGCCTGTGGACTGTGTGTCAGACCTGCTCTGGGTGTGTCCACTTGGGAGCCTGTGGACTGTGTGTCAGACCTGCTCTATGTGTGTCCACTTGGGAGCCTATGGACTGGGTTAGACCTGCTCTGTGTGTGTCCACTTGGGAGCCTGTGGACTGTGTGTCAGTCCTGCTCTGTGTGTGTCCACTTGGGAACCTGTGGACTGTGTCAGACTTGCTCCATATGTGTCTTCACAGTGTCATTAATACATTGTTTCTTTCCCTTCAAGAGAGAGATTCAGAAACTGTATGAAAACAAGTCATTTCTTTTCTTGGGCTGTGGCTGGACTGTGGATGACACCACTTTCCAGGCCCTTTTCCTGGAGGCTGTGAAGCATAAATCTGACTTAGAACATTTCATGCTGGTCCGGAGAGGAGATGTAGATGAGTTCAAGAAGCTTCGAGAAAACATGCTAGACAAAGGTATCAAGGTTATCTCCTATGGAAATGACTATGCTGATCTCCCAGAGTATTTCAAGCGACTGACACGTGAGATCTCCACCAGGGGTAGATCAGGTGAGATGCCTTTTGGGACTGAGGGAGCCCAGAGGGCAACAGCTTTTCAGCCTTTTGTGTATTTGTGATGCGTAAAGTCATCGGTGCTGTGACACCGGACCAAATTGTGGGGGATGCCACGGTTAGTCTTCAGGTTACACTAAAATATCATTTAGATAATAGGAAAGTGGGCAGAAAGTATTACTACAGTAGTTCAGTATAGAAGCAGGAGGAATAAAGAAAATATATGTAAAGATGTTCATCACTAGTTATCAGTGAAATGCAGTTGGAATTTAGGTTTCAAAATAGAGAATAATCACTGAGTTTTCTCTAAGGCTATGAAGAAAGAAATTTAGAGGATGGCACCAGTGGCTCAAAGGAGTAGGGTGCTGGCCCTATATGCTGGAGGTGGTGGGTTCAAACCTAGCCCCAGCCAAAAACTGCAAAAAAAAAAGAAATTTAGAAATTTATTCCTGCAGTATTGGTGGGAAGGTGAAGTTAGTACAGCTTTTATGAGGACAAATTTAAATTAGGTATCAAATTTTAAAACCCTTGATTCAGAAATCCTATCAGTACAATTTATCCTGGAAGAAGTTTCTCATAAGGAGGAAATTGGGAGATTGTATAATCACACAGTTGTACAGAAATGCACATGAGAAGATGTAACCTCTATAATGGCAACAAATTGAAAAAGGAACCTAAAATGTGCCAATCAGTAGGGGATTCTTTAGATACACTAATATGTATTAAATTGATGGAACGTAATGAAGCCATAAAAGGAAAATTTTTTCCACTAGCACAAAAGGATGTCAGGCCCTGCAGGCATGACCTACCCTCACTCTCAGCAGCCCTGGCCACTGAGGGCAGGTGCTGTTCAGATGCTGCACATAGGATGCACTCTGCTCTCACATGTTAAATTCACAGAGGAACCTGAATACAAAGGAAAATGGTTTGGAACAGTGGGAGTTAGCAGTTTTGCATAGGAAGTTTGGGGACATATTCACTGTAATCAGCCTGAAGTTAGGACATTTTTTTTTTGAGACAAAGTCTCACTCAGTTGCCCTGGGTTGAGTACTGTGGTGTCATAGCTCACAGCAACCTCAAAGCTTGGGCTCAAGTGATTCTTTTGCCTCAGCCTCCCAAGTAGCTGGGACTGCAGGTGCCCACCACCATGCCAGACTATTTTTAGAGACAGGGTCACACTCTTGCTCAGACAGGTCTCAAACTCCTGAGCTCAAGCACTTCCAGCCCCTAGAGTGCTGGGATTACAGGCACGAGCCACTGCACCCGGCCTAGAATTAAATAAGACATATTTGGTGCTTTGGAAAATGTGAAAGCTGCTAGTGAATGTTGTTCTCCTTTATCAGAAGGAACTGAAATTAATGAGGTTCTTGAAGAAAATCCAGAATTTGTCAACAAATTGATAAAGATGGGTCACTGACCAAGATGACACTGAGGAATCCCTCAGAACTAGATGAACTGAGTGAAGAAGCCTCTGTGAAATACATAAAGTCTATTGAGTGGAAGCAGAAACCCTAAATAAACTAGCGTGGAATAATTTAAAAGAGAAAAAGAGCATCTAACATACTAGTGAAAGGAAAAAATAAATATCTGGAAATGATTACTAAATCAGCTATGGTTATCTTTATGCAGTGGATTTGAAGTGTTGATTTTTTTTTTTATTTTTTATTTCTATGTTAGCATTTTGTTCAGTGATTACTTGTTATATTTGCAAACAGAAGACAAACTTTATACATGCTATTTGGAAACTATGGTGGTGGTGAAGTCAGTGGTTTTGGTATCACTTCCTTGATATTTTACCTCCACGTTCTCACAACAAAGAGCAAAATGGCTGTTAAAGGTATGGGTTATTGGTTTGGCGCCTATTGCTCAACCGGCTAAGGCGCCAGCCACGTACACCTAAGGTGGCGGGTTCGAATCCCCAGCCCGGACCCGCCAAACAACAATGACGGCTGCAACCAAAAAATAGCCGGGCGTTGTGACGGGCGCCTGTGGTCCCAGCTACTTGGGAAGCAGAGGCAGGAGACTCACTTGAGCCCAGGAGTTGGAGGTTGCTGTGAGCTGTAATGCCACGGCACTCTGCCCAGGGGGACAGCTTGAGGCTCTGTCTCCAAAAAAAAAAAAAAAAAAAAAAAAAGGCATGGGTTATTAATGGCTACTGGCAGATTCCCAATAACCCTACAAAATGCAGACAGTTTTGGTGTCAGCTAAATTGGAGATTGCTTTTTAAAACCTCACACTGAGTAAAGCCAGGTTTCAAGATAAGACCATTGCGACTCAACCATCTTGTTCCTAAGAAACTTTGCTGCCACAGAATATACTCCTGAAAAGTTATATATTAGTATTTTCATGGATAAATTGTATCTTCAGAGCCTATTAGTACAGGTAATTTAATATATAAATAAATTAGTTTTCCTGAATCTAATGATTCTAAATTTCTTTTCTGAATCAGATGGCTTCAGGCGGAATTCTCCCATAATGAAAAATTCCACAAGCTCTTCCTTGTCTCTGATTTGACAAAACAAGACTTTTTTTTTTTTTTTTGAGACAGTTTCACTATGTTGCTCTCAGTAGAGTGCTGTGGCATCACAGCTTCATAGCAACCTCAGACTCTTTGGCTTAAGCAGTTCTCTTGGCTTAGCCTGGGACTGAGTAGCTGGGACTACAAGCGCCCACCACAACGCCCACTGTTTTTTGTTGCAGTTGTCTTTGTTGTTTAGCAGGCCTGGACCAGGTTTGAACTCACCACCCTCCATGTATGTGGCTGGCGCTGTAACCACTGGGTTACAGGTGCCAAGCCTGACAAAACAAGACTTAAAAATTACCATCAACATCTGAACACCACAAACTATGCCTAGCCTTCCTCCAGAAGGTTTGCAAACTCCTTAGAAAAACAAACTTTTGCTTTGTCTCTTTTGTGAAAACTGTATGCCACTCTTTCTCGGGAATAGATTTTTCTGGTATCCTGTAATAGTCCAGACTCTTCTGCTGCTGTTTGTCCATACTTGAGACTTTGAGCGGGCTTTTCTGCTGGATGTGTTCCATTTCACTTACAGGAGACACATACCCAAGTTCTGCATACTTTTCTTGATCTGTATTTTGAGATCTTCTACCCAGGAAAGATGTTAAAATTTAAAACAACAAAATAATGTCTGGGCAACTCTTTGTTGCACTAAATCTCAGAAATACTGTGGGATGGCAAACTTCTGTTAACTAGCTTTGTAGTTTTCCTACCAGAGTGGCCTTCCCCAAAGTTTTGTCATGAAGGTATTGCGTATTTTTAAAATTCAGGGATTTTCAGTATGGCCAGGGCCTTTACTAAAATGGTCAGCTGAGTTTGTAGTTTGGAATCCAGAAGAGCAGTTTTAGGTTAAATCATCATTTTGAGGTGCATCAAGCTTATCCTCCAATCCTTCATTACATTGCATCTTTTAGATAGAAGCAGATGAGAAGATGCAGACGTTTTACGGGTCTATTCTAATTCTGAGCATTTGTTATGTACCTGGCATTGTGCCCTGTGCTCACTGTGCCTGGTGAAAATGTCTTCAAAAGCTTCTGTAGTATTTTCTGTCAAGTCTGAGAGGAAAAAAAAAAGATTCTGTAGTATCTAATACATATATTTCAGAAAAAGTCAAGTAATGGGGAAAAGAAAAATAATTCTTAAAAATTTATTACCACGCCAGCAGTTATTTTGGTGTATTTCTCACAATTTTTTCTATGCATTTTTTTCATACTGAAAAAGTACACGATTTTAAATTTCGTAGTATATCATGTTTTCCCACATTGCTGTAGTCTTTCCCTGTTAATTGACTTAATTTTTATTTTTTCCATTTTTTTCATGAGTTGGGGTCTCACTCGCTCAGGCGAGTCTGGAACTCCTGAGCTCAAATGATTATCCCTCCTCACCCTCCCACAGTGCTGGGATTATAGGTGTGAGCCACCACGCCCGGCTAATTTTTATTTTTAATTGACTTAATGTTATATTCCAGTGTGGATGTCATAATTTACCTAATTATTGCTAATTTGTCTTTTTCCCCAGTTTTCTGTGTTGTAATATTGCAGAGACTGACATATTCACCCCTACAGTTGTTCCTTATGCCAGTAATTCCTGGTGTTGAATTCTCAGTGTACTTAAGCTAAAGGATGTGGACATCTAACAGTATTGCTAAATTGCTTTCCAAGAGGGGAATATGAAGTTGTGTGTTTGGGTACCAGGTTTATACTCTCATTGGCCATATTTATCATGATTATTTTCTTCTCTCTCTCTCTTTTTTTTTAAACTATGTCATCCTGGGTAGAGTGCTGTGGAGTCACAGCTCACAGCAACCTCAGAATCCTGGGCTTAAGCAATTCTCTTGCCTCAACCTCCCAAGTAGCTAGGACTACAGGGACCCACCACAACACCCGGATATTTTTTGGTTGTAGTTGTCATTGTTTGGCAGTCCCAGGCTGGGTTCAAACCCGCCAGCTCTGGTGTATGTGGCTAGCACCTTAGCTGCTAAGCTACAGGCACCGATCCAATTTTCTTCTCTTCTGTTTAGTTTTATACTAAACCGTTATCTATGGCAGTGTTGTCCAGTTGAATTTCTTGCAATCATAAAAGTACTCTATAATCTTCACTGTCTAATACTGTATACACAAGCCACATTGGGTATTAATTTTTAATTGACTGAATATTATATTCCAGTGTGGATATTATCATTTACCTAATTATTGCTCTAGGTTAGGCAGTTTGAAACAAGGCTGTGACTGAGGAATGCAGGTTTTTTTTTTTTTTTTTTTTGAGACAGAGCCTCAAGCTGTCCCCCTGGGCAGAGTGCCGTGGCAT